AGGTCCAGTCAGACATTTCACTGAGAATGTACATACTTACAAGTGTTTCTTCTCTAGGATTGTAAGCACAGGGTCTATTCTTTTTACGTGATGAAAACAGCATTGGCAAAAAGTGAAAAGGATTTTCTGAAAATGCTTGCACATAACCAGAAAGAGTAGCTTTGTTTAGTATAATAAACGAATGAACCTCCAGGAGCGAATGGGGGCAGTGGAGAAATGCTGTTATTATCGTAGACATCTCAAGGTCACAAACACAGCAAGAGCTCGACAATGCTGTGTACACTCGTCTCCAGCATGGGAAATGAAAAGAAGGAATGGAAAGTGGTAAGAGATGGAGCAGACCATCTGGTCTTATCTCTCTACTCTATGCTAATTATGCCAGCCACAGATAGAATAAATTGAACATGTCCAGCCGTCTACTGTAACTCGTTAATATCACCGTCAGGCTGCTAACCTGGAGGTGATTAGCCTAACACTGCCATTTAGACCGCCCCCCCCACCGGCTGCCTCAGCACGTATCCAAGCCTGCTATCGCATGGATACCGTTGCAGTGCACCCGGCGCCAGTACGCCCATTGCGCCCGGTCTCACCGTCGACTCGCGCCAGTCTCGAGGGACGCGAAAATCAGACCGCCCAAATTAACTTTAGAGCTATTCCTACCAGGGTATCACTTGCCTAGATACCACTGACGCACTCCCGTTATCATTCAGGCTTTCTAAGCCTAAAGAGAGAAGAGGCAGTAGCCACGCTTTTTACACTTAATGTGGCAGGCTAATGAAAGCACTCCAAGCTAGCCTGACAATCACTTGTCGCAAATCGACAAGTGATTGAAACCGCACAGAATGTGAGGACAGCGCCGTAAATTGGTTGAATTACTCATTTGCAATGATTACAACCCGATTAGTCCTCCACAACATCATGCACATGTTCACCTTGTCACAACCACTATATGTCCGCTGGTTAAAGTAGAAACACCAGCTGTGATGCTTGGCGGTTGTCATCAAAACCTCGGCCCACTGAATAATGACAGAATGCATAATGCGCTTGTTGGGTTTTAACCAGGAGTTCCCAGATCAAGTGAACTAAAGGTGGTCAATTCATGATGTTTCAGTTCCAGAGTATTTTACTGAGAGAAGGCAAACAAACCTTTTTTACGTAACTTTCGAGGACGGTGAGAGATATATCAAGACTCCTTGCCCCCAGAATTCAGGCACTGCATATTAGTGGCAGGTGGGAGGGAGTTGAAGATAATAGAAATTCACAGAGGAAGATCACTTTGAGGTTAACCTCATGTAGCACGCTTTCGATCTGCCAAAGACAGCAGAGATAAGAATCGCGACACACAGAGGAGAGAAAGTGGTGATTAAAGTCCGGACCTGTAAGTGACTAGCAATTTTGATTTCAGATCAAACACCCTGAAGTTAGAGAGAGCTTCTGCTCTGTCATATAATTCATACACCGCCGCACGGCCACTCATTCACTCGTCCTCACTAGCCCATGGACGCATCCCACCTCCTCAAGGTCGGAAATCACTCTGAGCGCCTCGGCTAATATCTCAACACGAGTGCAAAACAACAATTGATTTATTCTTTAAGAGGAGATGAATCACACACTCTTCCTCCTATCCAAACGTATATTGTGAAACCAACAACGACATCCATGGAGGTCACAAAACTCAGGGCTCCAACAATTTGTGTTTTGGTGTGTCTGACGCGGAGTATCGGGACTGTGATTTAAATTTGGGATAGATTTTCATAAATTAAAATCATTATATGGTCGGTCTACATATAATCGCCTACCCGTTGTCGTGAACCACCCTGCTTCTTAAGACAACGATGCGGAGCCGTTTCGTCTGAGAGAGATTTCTTGCTTTCTGTGTTTTTGTAAATAAACTACCTTAAGACAGATTAATCGACTATAGTATTTGTTAAGTACGATCCAGACAGCGTGTCCTTTCACGTCCAGCTGTAACAATGCATTCATTAGGACATGTAAAGTTGCTGTAAGCTTCTATTCTGGTTAAATTAAATAGCTCCCCACCATTTGACCAGCCATCGCTTGGTAAGAGTGTTTTAGTTAGTAACATGGGTCTCCCAGTCCCTCCTTTCCGTAGTACCCGCCCATTTTTCTGTTACCTGTTCTAGCTTTATCCAATCCAGCCGAGCAGAGCCCCGGAGCGGTCCTCCGTGCGCGATGTTCACCGCAGCAGCATAATACCAGCTGTACGACGTCGCGACCACCCCCCCGGAAACTGCAAGAACGAAAGGAAGCTAGCAAAATCGATTTCACTCACAGGCCCTTTAATGTAAGCTACAAATAAAATCGTGCATCTTGTGATTGTGAGAGTGTGTACATTTAAATACAGTCTTCGATATAGCAATGGCCTATCGTTCGACCCCATGCCCTGTAGTCACCTCATGTAAGGATTTCTCCGCTCCATGCTCGCATGTGCATCGACCCAAACAGCCTCCGCGACATGCACTGTTCATTCAAACGTCAAGCATCATTCAGAGAATGTCTGCACTTCCTACCCTGGGTTGGGGGGGGCGGAACCCCAAAGAATTCAGAATGACACTACAACTACTCTCCACGTGAGCAGCCACACACCCCTCCGGCCGAGAGGAGCCGCTGACATTATCATCCATTGCGCATCCTGTGGCGTGCGAGATCCACAGGTGATAACTTTTCCAACACATCACCTCCTTTCAAATGCTT